GGGAGAACAGGGCGGTGATCTCGTATTACTATTTTTCCATAAGCTTGAAAATCACGCGAAAAATCCCTCGTCGCATCGTCCTTCCGTGTTAGAAGCAGGATTTACGACGTCCCTTCACGCCTCCCCCTCTCTTTCCCTCCTCCAAAATCCTCCAAATATCATTAAAGTTTCATTAAAATTAGCGAAGGAGGAGGGAACATTTCGCATGGCTCCCCGGGGAGAATGCTGTTTCTTATCGGTAGACCCTTTAAATCAACTTTAATACTACAGTTAGCGCCGCCTAAAATGTAGCGCTGTAGCCTTAAATTCCAAGGAAACTGCCGTTATTTGCATCCCGACGATAATGTGTTCCTCTGTTTATTATTAAGTTGAGCCGCCTCCGTGCCGAGAGAGAAAGAGAGAAGCGTAGGAGGTGGTGGATGTTTCGATCGAAGATTATGCGATTGCGTTATTCGAGGAGAAAGTTCGCGAGACAGAGGATACGGGGAAATTAATTGGGGCTTTGAAACAACTTGCGATATTTCGCGAGCCAGAGAGAGAGAGAGAGAGAGAATTAATGTTAAACGTTTCTGTGGAGCAACTGTAATTGGGAGTCGTTTTGGAGGATCGTTTCGAACGAACGGTTCGAATAAACCGTACTCTCAGAATCATTGGTAAATTTAAGACACGATTGTATCTTAAAATTCGCTCGAATTTTGATCAGGACGAAGATATAGAATTAATGTTTGAATTAAAGTAAATTCTTCTTTTAACCTCATTTCATATTTTATTGTTCAAATTCATTTATGTACATTTGTGTTAAATTTACTTGTATTTTTATGTAGGAAAATTTTAAAAGAATATTGTTTAATTTAGAGTATTATTTCAAGCGGTTGAAATATTGTCGAGTAATTTTTTAATACATTTCAAGAGAGATAGAAACTTTCATTTTTTTTTTTTTTTAATTTTCTTCCTAAACGATTCCAATAACCGGAGATCTTATTTTCTTTCGTGAGTCTTCCTCTCGTTTGAGGCAAAATCTTTGAAAAACGAGAAAAATAAGAAAATTGTTAAGTATTAGTGGGCCAAAATTGGAATATTTTTCACTTATGAAAAGATCTCCGGATAATCGTATTATGGGATATGAAAGGTAAACAATCGGCGCGAAAAGCATCGTCGCAAACCGGGAGTTTTTTTCATAAATGCCAAAAATCCGTTGGAACTCGTTGTCTGGCTGGCTTATTTACGATGTTGCCACGGTTTTATGATTGCAATGGAGAGAGACGCGGAACAATCTGGTCCGTGGCCCGGAAGGAATTTGCATTTTATTCGTTTAAGTTCGTATGTTAACACGTTTAGAGAACTGTGTGTACACTGGCTTCCCTCTTTATTGCTTTCCACTTCTTTCCTTCAACTTTTTTCTTTTTCCACCTTGTGCAATAATTTTATACGTTGTTTTTGCTTTATTAACCTCCGTGTTCGTTTTGGACGATAATATTCAACAATGAATGAATAAACAACAAATTATTTGTTTTAGATAAATTTCTAAATATCACTGCTAAACCACTATTTCTCCTGTATGTTAAAATATTGCATTCATTGATAAAAAAAAAAAGAAAATCTGAAAAGATGAAAGAGATCAGCTCAACAACAATTAAAGAAGAATATATATATATATCGTATGATTCGTGTTATTTAATATGAGCAGCAATTGTTCTCTCACGATGAGAAAGTTTCTCCTTGTGGTTACACATTATTCCTCGAAACTCTCGAATGTGCTTAATTAGGCGATATTTGAGGAAGCATCCCTTTACCAACGAGCCCATCCTCTCTAAGGTCGGTTTCACGCTCGCAAGCTGCTATTATGGAAAGCCACCGGATTCCCGTAAGAAAGCACGGGTGTCTACCGGCTGCTGTTACCCCACCATCTCATCCTAGACGTCTTACCTGAACTAATATTGTTAGGGTCTAATTAGTACCATCGTGACACCGCCTGACCTTGCCCCATCCTCTTCCTCCGCCTCTCATCTTCTTCCTCCCATTTATCCCCTCCTCTCCTCTACTTATAACCCTCTTCCATCCGCCTGGTTATTTCCCTTTATCTCTCGTTTCGTCTTCCGTTTGTTTCGTCATTTCTTGTATCTCGTTTTTTTTTTTTTTTTTTCATTATTCCTTTCTCTTTCAAGGGGATATCGATGAAAGTTTTGCAGATACAAAGAGATATAATAAAATAATGTTCTTTTACTATTTTTCTTAGAAACTTTTACTTAATTTTGAATATTGAACGAAAGTTTATAAAACCTGAACCTCCTGAAAAGAAAAACGATGAACGTTTGAAATGATTGTCTAAGATGAAACAAGCGCTATATATTTATACGAATTTCGTTTTTATTCGTTTTTTTTNTTTTTTTTTTATAAATAACGAAGAAGGAATATTTGTTACGAGATATTCCGTGTACACCAGGTTGCATCATCTCTTGCGTGTTCTCTCTGTTCAATTTTAACGGTCGTTCCAGAAGCAACTTGCATAAGTTGCCAGACCGTGTCTGAGGAAAGGACATTCGCTGCTCCCTGTTATCGTGCTACTGGGTTTAGATTATGGGAGAATTTCAGGGAACGTTCAGTCGATTATACCGGTGGTTGAAAGTTTCACGTGTACGATGCCTTGGATCTTGTATTATTCTTGCGTTTGAAATGTGGACGTGACGTTGTTATGAAATTGTTTTCGTTTTCTCTTAAAAAAAGGAGAAAAGGAAAAAAAAAAAGAAAATGAAAATCTCGAGAGAAAATCTCTAATTTAATATAATTATTCCGCAAGCGTCGAGTTAGAAAATTTATTTTTTCAATTAATATTTCATTAATAACTCTTATAAATATTAAAAGCACATAATACACGTAAAATATGTAAAACTATGGTTTCATGTTATATTATTACTTACACTTGTACGCCATAATTATCTAATTCTATACAAATTACACTACGCGTTTTATTATATACGCGTTAATTCGTAATAATTATATTAATTTACTATATTGCGTGCATTTATAAATTCATATATTCCGTGTATAATATATCTCGCGTTGATTGCTTCTCAAAAGTATCTTTGAATACAAATGTTACGTGTAAGGCACGATTATCGAGGGGAAAATATTCTTGAAAAGGAAATATATCTCATAAAAATTCTATCTATAGTAATGAAATTTCGAGAAATAGTCAATCAATACACGGGCAACAAAAGGCCTCTAATAAATCTTTCAGACAAACTATCGAGGTTTCTATTCAACGTGTTAATAGAAATTCGATGTTAATCAAGTTTGCTTTGTATCATAAATCGAACAATTTACAACGAAGCGAAGAAAATTCAACGTGGTGGATTTTCAACGAGCGTGCAATCATTCGATGGTAAAGCGTGTCCCAAGTGTGAGACCCGCTTCATGATGTTGCGAATAGAGATTGCGTTCTATCGATCTATTCTTATTCACCTACACTTCCGTGCCACGGTTGTCGAGAAGTAATGGCGGTTGAAAACTAGCTTATTTAGAATCTGTTGTGACGAGTAAAACATCACGCGGTGGTGGCCATTAATATCTGTCGATTTTGTTTACTTCATCCTCGTTAATCTTCTTTAATCTTTGCTTTCTCCACTTTTTCGCTTTTTTTTTCGATTATTATCAAACGAATCAAAATGAAATTTAATATTTTTAATCTGCAATTAAGGCGTTGATGAATTTCATCATTTATCTTCTTCGCTGTTTCTATCCGTTCGAAATACCAGAAGAAATGTTTTAAAAATGGATTTCTATTTAATAATAAATATTAAATGTGTTTAATGAAATTTTTAAGATCTAGGGTAATTTTATTTATTAATAGGATCATACGCTCTCTCGATGCTAGAAAAATATGACGACGTATCTAGCAGTCTTTATAAAGGTTAGCTTGGGTCGTATTATCTCATTAATCTTGAAAGAGTTAAGTGGAGGAAGAATTCTCCCTTGTCATTTATGAAATGAGAAGCAATATTTCGTGTTGCAGCAATATACGTTAAAATAATAAAAATTTTTTATTCTACTTCTCATTATGTTTTTCTTTTTTTTTTTTTTTAACTATTTTCTTCCTTTATATAAAATTCTTGATCCCCTCATTTTCGCCATAATCGAAAATATTATATTTTTATCCAATTTATAACATGGAATTTCATTTTCTACTCTCTCTACGATTGTATCGAACATATGTTCTTAATCGTGTTCCTTATTTCTTCCTCACATTTTTTTTTTTTTCTCCTACTATTTTCCACCTTTTTTTAAAAATTACTGCACTCGACGAACATGTAGAAGCCTGAAATCACGTTAAAGCTCGTTGCGACACCCAAGTTACGAGAGGGCGTAAAATCTAAAGGTAGGAGCTTTCGATATTAGCTGCATTATAAACCACTTGTACGTGAGTGTTTCACTTACGGACAAATTGCAGATAGGTCGTATGCGCGCGCATCCAGGCTACCACGTGACTATATTGCGTATAATGGTGGCATGCTGTTGCACGCGTGTAACCGTTCGCGGAAATATTGTTCACGGAGGGGAACGATACGTAATTAAAATTGCCTTTAATCGTGCCACTTGTATATACGAGCTCGGTGTCCTTATACGCCAGAGAGGAATTTCCTTTCTTAAAGCTTCTTGTTAATTTTACGCTATCGTTGAATATCTTACGACACACTTCTTTCGTTCCTGCGATATATGAATAAAGTATACAAAGGTAAAGATTTGAACAAACCAGAAGTATTTAACGTGAATAATTGTTACACTCGAAATACAATAGTTGTTAATACGATTTTTTTAATCAACACATGATATAAGAAAAAGAATTACAAAAATTAAACATACGAATGAATCGTCATTTGTTTTAAAATCGTTCGAAGAAGAATTCACTTAGAATGTTAATGCTTAAGCTGCGACGAAAGATAAATTAAATAATTAAATTCTAATGTTAGATTTTAATGAATTGCATTTCATTTTTGTTTCAGGGCCGATGTAATCGGGAAAAACCCCCGTGCAAATATTTCCATCCACCGCAACATCTGAAGGACCAGCTTTTGATAAACGGGCGTAATCATTTGGCCCTAAAGAACGCGCTGATGCAGCAGATGGGTCTCACACCGGCCCAGCCACTAGTGCCTGGCCAGGTACCAGCAGTGGTATGTCCAAACTTTAACACATTCGTTGCACCACGTCTTCTGCTGTTCACACATCCACACATTTTCTTTTTACCACGGTCGAGAGATTTTGAGTTTTGTCTGTGTTAGTCGACGACTACCACTAGATTACCCTTTTGGTAGGTAACGCTGTGTAAATAGTCACGATGAAGTGTATCATTTGATCCTTATTATATTTAAAAAAAGACTGAAATATAATAGTTGATCGATATTTTTTTTTAACAATTAATAGTTTTATAATATATGATAAATATGTTGCAATATCTATGTTATTAAAATTATTTTTTTTTATCTTCTTTCTTCTTGAAAAATTTAAGTTTTTTTTTTTTTCTTCTCTTCTTTCCAAGTTTCTATTTGATTTTTGTATCGCGTTTAATTAGAGAAATTTTACACCTCGTCGTCTTCATTTATCGGCGTTCTTTATTTGCGGGCATTGCACCGAGAGATAAAACTTCAGAGAGTAAACTTTAGCACGCCGCATGTTTTTGGTCAGTGTCACCCCTTATTCCTTTAATTTATCCATGATTCTTGATAGACAGTCAATATTTATATATTATATATTTATTAAAAGATCAATTTTTTTCTAAATAGAAGTGTAGTATAATTATTAGTTCTAGATTACTGTCAAATATAAATTAAAAGGCAATACAATTATTTTGTTGATTCGTCAATGTTATTTCTTTCTTTCTTTTTTTTTATTCTTTTTTAAATTACAATATATATATATATATATAATACATACATATATATATATATATATCATTTGGCGAATCCACAAAATGTACCCCATCTGTTCCATTTAAGAAAGGATGATAACAATGGAAAAATTTACAAAAAAAAAAAAGAAAAAATAAACGATCAGTTTAACAAACGTTGTCTCTCATTGCGTGCACATGCAATGAAAATAGCGAAATAAAATTGATTCGTTCCCCGTAATTAATTATGATAATTTTAACGCCTAGAAAGGAAATTTTCACCAAAGAAATCAGATCATCATTACGCCCACCCGCCTTTTATTTTCATGACATATAATTCATAGTCGTTGCTACGTGACATCGAATCCTATACTACTCGTATGACTGCCTGTCTGTCCCCTATGTTTGCCGCTGTGGCTCTCGTGGTTGTGGTTGATTGTTGGTGTGTTCTCCAATTACGTCATTGGTGAACAGGAGGCACCAGCACCTCCGGCACCACACCATCACCTTCAACAGCAAATCCAGCAGCAACTTCTCGCTACCCACGCCTTTATGGTAACTCCTGGTTTTGGTTGGCTTCCACTAATTTTTTAGTTAATTAAAGTGCCACGCCGATGGCGCCGACATAAGAAATAAATCTGTGAATGTTAAATGTTTAATCGTTATATTATAGAATAGAATTTCATCAAAAACCTTACTTATTATTATTTTCTGACAATTTTTTTGATTTCAATGATTTTTTTTTTTTTTTAATTAACGTTCGATTTTGAGGTTACAACGAAGTTGAAAGATTTATTTCAGATGGCACCGCTATCGCGCGTGTAGTGTGCCTGTAAGACTAGTAAGCGTTTGTATGAAAGCTTCAACTTGTTTTCAAAAGAGTGCCGCACTGTAAATTAAGATTGAGACTTGATATGCATGCTTCACGAAATGTTTCATTTTGTTTTTTTTTTATCAAAAGTTAAGAAGTTTCTCTGTACATTGCGACAGAGTTTTTTTTTTTACCTTTTTAGAGAGTTTTTTTCCTTTGAAAGCATGAATTATTTTGCGGCCAAGTTAAATCGTGGCGTTCTCTCTCTCTCTCTCTCTCTCTCTTTTTCTCTTTCTTCTCTCTATTTCTCTCACCTACTTCCATGAAAAATTTAGAAAATTCATTTGTATCTATTTGTTACTTCCTTCTGATTGTTCAGTGTTGAAAGTTTTTAAGTACGTGCATGCAGTTTGTTCTGAAACCAATAATTTTTGAAAATGCGAAAAAATTTAATCGATACAATCTTTTCGATCCATTCGAGAAAATATGACATTAAATTCTTTGTTCTCTCATAAGTTTACTTCATAGATTTGCGTCATTAATTTTTTTTTTTTTTTTTTTTTTACCAAACACTATCTAAAAGATCTTTTTAAAAAAAAGAAAAGCTAATATTTACCTCCAAAAAATTAACCTCAGAACAAATTCTATGATAATTTCGATTCGAATAACAAATTAATTTAAACGTAAAACAATTACCAATCTTTTCTATTTTCATCGATTCGAAAACGACGATTATCAATTTCCCCAATGTAATTATTTAATTTCAACAACTATCAACGTCGATTTTACAATATAGAATATAAACAAAAAAAAAAAAAAAGAAAAGAAAAATCGAGAGCGAGGGAAACGCGCGCGAAACGATCGCGAAACGATCGAGGCACGCCTCCACGCCTCGAAAGATTTATTCTCTTTCCTCTTCCTCGTCGAGGAGGGAAAACTGTTTTCCGGGTCAACGGCCATTATCGTTCAAAAAGTTTTTCGGCGGTTTGGCGTGCCTCGGTTGTCCTGGAAGCTTCTATACGTCGAAAGTTCGAAGAATACAAGCACACAGGGTCCTTAAGAAGAAGAAGGAACGGGCGTTCAGCTCATTCGGCTGCGCTTCAAATTACCTGCCTTCGCTTCTGGGAAGCCCGTTCTCCGCAATACCAAAAATGCTTCTTATGGGAACGCGCGCTTGTCGTTCAAAATGCCGGTTACAAGCGCGACGAGACGAATGAATTAAGACTTGGCGAGCTATTCCGCCGCAATCGTTCTTTTCTTCCTGGATTTTTGATCGATCGTGTCTTTTTTCATTTTTATTTTTATTTTTCAAAATGTTGCAAGCGTCGTTCGATTCCCGACAAGTGGTGCTTTTCTCGAATTAAAATTTGATTTTTATTTTAGCTTCACAAAAATCTATCGTGTGATGGTAATTTTTTATTTTCATCCAAGTGGTGTATTAACTTTTTTTTTTTTCAAACGAAGAAGAGAACGCTTGCAATTTTTAAAGATTCATATGTGAAGGTTTAATATCTAATTAGTTGAAATCTGGTTTTGAATTCTTTCGAAAGCATAATATTGAAGTATTTAACATTATTTCCTAACTTTTTTTTTAAGTAATGAAAACTTTTTTATCGATATACTTTGAATTTTTATCTTAAATGAAGAAAAAAATTGTTATTTTGAAGTGTGTACAATATTTTTCGTAGTTTGAAATTTTGCATAAGCAGTTTTCAATATATGTATACGCCACCAATCTAATATAAACATTGTAAAGAAAAATTTATCCAGAAAAATATAACGTTAATGATATTCGGAAGATAAAAAAAAAAGAAAGAAACGTATCACACTCGAGATTGTTTCATCATGTAACTTTTTCCAAAACTTTTTACCATCAAGATGAAATGAATCGTGTGAAAAATACCTTCCAACGAATCGCTCGCGAAGTCTCGATCTCGTACCAAAGTAGCAAAGATCTCGAATGGCGCACACGCAAAGATCGGGTGGGTCTGTATCGCGCTTGCGTCGCGGAGGGTTGGCTAATAGCTCTAGCATAAAGGGAGAGAAAAGAAAAGAAAAGAAAAGGGAAAAAAAGATAATTTAAGATCGGGGAAAACGCAGAAACGAATGACGACTCGCGTGGAGGCGAAGGTGGGGTCTTTTTCTAATCCGTGTTACCTGGATACTTTCCGGGTTTGTTTTCACAGGCGACGAATCCGTACCTGACCGGTATGCCGCAGGTTGGCAACACGTACAGCCCGTATTTCGCGCCCAGCCCCATCATGCCAGCGATCATGGGGCCTGCGGACCCAACCGGAGTCGGAAGCCCGTTGGGCGTGGTCCCGCAGACGGTGGCGATGCCGCAGAAGATGCCACGTACCGACCGCCTCGAGGTATGTCTACCACCAAACTACATTCAACAACAACAACAACAACAGCAACAACAACAACAACAGCATGGGGCCCAACACGGCGCAGCCGGGGCCTCAAGGTGCCCGATGGCCGCGCCCAATACCGTGTACCAAGTGCCGGCCGGTCCCCCCAATCAGGTGTCGCCCGTTTCCACGATGCAATCTGTCAATCATCCACCATCCCCGACGACTATCACCACCACCTCCTTCTGTACCCCGTTGCACAATCCTCACGCCCACCATCATCCGATCCACAACCTGATCTACGTCCACGCGTACTATTGAAATCGATTTTATCGATCGTCGGCAAACAAGCTCTCTTCTTTCCCCATTTTCTTTTTTCACGTTTTTTATCTTTACCTCGGTTCACCACGCGCGACAATTAATAAATCGGCTTCGCCGATTTCTTCTTTCGCGCGTCTCGATTCGGATTTTTATATTCGTGCAACGGTGGCGGTAATCGGTATCGCGGAGTTCGCCGAATTTTTGTTTGCTCTCGCTCTTTATTTGGGAAGAAGAGACCGGTTGAGATTCATTTCGAGGAACGTCGCAGGTTTGAATGATCGTTCGAGAGAAGATCGGGGATCCGAAATTCGGGATTTTTCGAGAAAAAGGAAAGAGAAGAAAAGAAAAGGCAAGAACCTAAGGCTGGAAGTCGGAGATATATCTCGTCGATGGTTCTCGTCGATTCTCCCGAGTTCATCTCGATGGGAGATGAGTAGGACGAGTTGTTCGTTCCATCGTCCCAAGGAAATCTTATATTTATATACGATATATATATATATTATATTCGATAAATCAGTATAATCCGTGCGCGATGTAGAAAAAAAAAAAAAAGGAAAACGTGTGTAAAATCCGAAAAAGAAAAAGAAAAAAAGTAAAAATGAAAAAGGAAAAAAAAATAATAATAAGATACGTCGCGTAATAAGATATTCAGCTTCGTTGTCGTTCAGTTCCAGATGGACGGGAAAATTATTTTTCGATTTTATTCGATCGAGTTGTCGAACGGTTAAACGGCGATGATCCGCGCGAAACTGCGCTGTGACGATGATTTCACGGATCGCTTGTAGCAGGGCGAATTGGAGCGAAACGAAGCTCGTTAATGACGAAACGGAAACGAAATGGCGAGTCCGTGCAAAAAGGAACACGGCTCCTCGATCGGTAACTAGGCAATTATATCGGTAACGTTTTTGATGAAACGGTGTGGATTTCTATATAACCTTTTTAAGTAATCACTTATCATAGCACTGTACGTATATGGTGAATACGAAATTTAAGAAAGTTGCATTACACGAAGATAGGGGTTAGAGAGTTCTCGAGAATGGTGGCGATTGATTTTTCTTTTTCTTCTTTTTTTTTTTTTTTTCTTCTCTCTCTCTTTTGTTCGTGCGGTGATTGTGATCGATTGGATACGAATCGTTGGAAGCAACTATTAATGGCAACGACAAAAAAAAACGTGATTAATAACGATGAAAAACTCGTGATTATTAACTATTATTATTATTATTAAAATGATAGATAGTAAGTTATATCATGGCGAGGAGTGGATTAGTCAAAGGGTGTGCAACGATCTTCGATGTGTTTCAGATCTTTAATAAAAAGCGATATTTGTTTTTCTGCAATAAACAATTTCTCAGGTTTTTTGTGATTTTTATTTCAAAGAATCGATTTAAAACTTAACAAAAGCTACTCGTGATGTGAACACGTTCGAAAGAAATTGCTTAAAATGGAGAAAAATTAATTCAAAACTGAATGCAGGAACATGCAGGAAATGTTAAAAGTCGATTGATGTGAAAGCAAGTAGGAATTTGTAATTCCATACTGTTAACAATTTTTACGTAAAATCTAAAAAAAAAAAACATAGACACGTGAACAAGTGAAAATAACGACAAAAAAGAATAACCGATTTCAATTACCTCAAATATTTCTTTCTAATATTTCATTAAATTAGAAATTCTTTTTTAACTTAAATTTAATTTTCTGTACACCTCATCAAAATTACAAATAAGTAATATTGCACAACGTTTCTTGCCTCGTGATTTTCAAAAAGTTCGCTACAATTATTTTTCTTTCCGATTATATAACTTTTCAATTCAAACATTGAAAGAATTAAACCGATTACAATTGAAGATAAAATTATTTAAATATACATACACTCTCGTAATTAAGAAAAGAAGAAAAAGGATCTGGTCTTCTGATTGCTTAACCGTTATCTATCTAACCATTATAGAGGATCGTATCGTCCAAAACAAAAAAAAAAAGAAAAAACCCATTTGGAGGAACATCGCTCTAAAACAACGTACGCACGAGCGCATAATATATTTTCATCCCTGTATAACAATGGATTTTAATTAAGTCTCGCAAATTACCGTTAGACCTTGGTTAAGTAACACAAGTGGAACCGCGGAGGGAACGTTTTATCCGCGCAACGATAACGTTTCTTACCGCGCAACGAAAGCTTCCCTCTTTTAGAGCGGGGTGGTGGAGCAGGATAAGTTTTATAACGTTCGAGTTTACAGATTTCCCCGGAGCCTGTATCGTTTCTTTCGCCCGGCGGCGGGTCTTCTCGCGGAATTAACAAGTTTCGCCGTTCCGTTGGATCGGCGCGGCGGAAAATGAATAAAATCGGCGGCCAAATGGAGGGGGAAGGGAGTTGGGTGATGAAGGTGTTGCGCGCGTGAAACTCTCGGCGCGAATCGTTTGTGAAATGGAGGCTTCCTTCCGGTTTTTTTTTTTTTTTTTCTTCTCCCCTCCGGAACAAGAAACTGCTCTTCGTAGAAAGCGAATTTAATACGTTTTCCGTGTATTCGACCGATAACGAGACCGACTCCCAAACGCCAACGGATAGGAAATCTATGGCGTTTTCTCTTCTTCTGTTCCCCACCCTCTGATCGCCTACGAGGAACGGGGTAGAAAGAGAAATCGATGGATTGTTCCTGATGATTCTTCGAAAGTTTTTTTTTTTTTTTCTTCAGTTCGGAATTCTGCTTGAATTCTTTGTCGCGTCTTTATGATCAGATTTAATATAATTTGGAATTATTTAGGGAATTTTGGGAAAATTTGGTGATTTCGGTGGGATGTTCAACGCTAAAAAGGCAAATTCAAAGGAAAGTTGTACATTGGAATGAAATGAAAATTGGAATGGAATAAATACACGATAATAATATACGATACAGATATGAATACAAGTAATTTTTTGTGAAAACATTGAGGATCGTTGCATATTTTTCCAAGAACAGAATTTTAACAACGTTTTAAAGAATCTATGCACTCATATACGTATGCAGAATACGTTTGTACTTACGCGCCATTCCAGCCATGCATGCGCGCGCATAGTAACACGTGTATATAGTAGGTAGGTTAACAAATTAACTGATTGTGTTTTGTATCGAGGAGAACGAGAGTTTGAAAATAA